CCCTGCATTATCTTAGCAAATTCTACACATAACGAATTATCAGTTGATCCAAAAATAATATCATCAACATATACCTGGACCAATAAGATATGTTCTTTAACTTTCTTTATAAACAGTGTAGAATCAATTTTTCCTCTAGAAAAATCATTTGATGTTAGGAAACTACTTAGCCTTTCATACCAAGATCTAGGAGCTTGTTTCAACCCATATAATGCTTTCTTTAATTTAAAAACATGATTAGGAAAACTAAAATCTTCAAAACCAGGGGGTTGCTCCACATAAACTTCTTCTTTAATAAAACCATTCAAAAATGCACTCTTAACATCCATTTGATATAATTTAAATTTCATCAAAGATGCATAAGCAAGAAGTAGGCGTATAGCCTCTAACCTGGAAACAGGAGCATAAGTTTCATCATAGTCTATACCTTCCTCCTGATAATAGCCTTTGGCAACAAGTCTGGCTTTATTCTTTGTTATGTTCCCATTTTCATCAAGTTTATTTCTAAACACCCATTTGGTTCCAATTACTTGATGTGACTCTTCTCTTGGGATTAATTCCTAGACTTGATTCCTTTCAAATTGGCTAAGTTCTTCTTGCATAGCTATGCACCATTGGTCATCTTTAAGTGCTTCCTTCACATTTTTGGGTTCTATCTGAGACACAAAAGCTACAGACATACAAAAGTTAGACATGTTTCTAGTTCTTACCCCTTTTTGAAATATCACCTATGATATTGTCCATTGAGAGTCCTCTTGGTGATTGCCATTATTTTGCTAATTCAGGCGTTTGAGAAGGCTCATTTTCTTCCAAATATAATTCATCAAGAGATTCTCTTATATACTCATCATCACCTGCAAGTTCTTTATTTGACTCAAGAGGATTTCCCCCAAGGTCTACAATTTCATCAAATTTAACATGAATAGATTCTTCTATATTCAAAGTTCTTCTATTAAACACCCTGTAAGCCTTACTAGTTAATGAATAACCTAAGAAAATGCCCTCATCGGCTTTAGAGTCAAATTTTCCTAAGTTATCTTTTCCATTATTTAACACAAAAAACTTACATCCAAAATTTTTCAAATGAGCAACATTAGGTTTTCTACCATTAAACAATTCATATGGAGTAGATTTAATAATTGACCTAATGAGCATTCTATTTAAAACATAACATGCAGTACTAACCTCATCAGCCCAAAAATATTTAGGAACATTCGATTCATTTAACATAGTTCTAGCAAGTTCCTCTAATGACCTATTTTTCCTTTCAACTACACCATTTTGTTGGGGAGTCCTAGGAGCAGAAAAGTTATGTAATATTCCATTTTCTTCACAATAATTTTCACACTTTTCATTTTGAAACTCACCACCATGGTCACTTCTTAAAACTTTAATTCTTAAGTCTTTTTCATTTTGAATTTGTTTTGCAAATTTTCTAAAGACCTTAAAAGCTTCACTTTTCGTAGTTAAGAAAAATGTCCATGTATATCTAGAATAATCATCAACAATCACAAGGTCATAATAACTTCCACCAAAGCTTTTTATCCTAAAAGGTCCAAATAAATAAATCTAAATGTAATAATTCTATGGGTTTTGAAGTGGAAACAACATTCTTTGATTTAAATGATGATTTTACTTGTTTACCTTTTTGACATGCATCACATAACCTATCTTTTTCAAATTTTAACTTAGGCAAGCCAATAACTAAGTCTTTTGATATCAATTTATTCAAATGATGCATATTTATATGAGCAGCCCTTTTATGCCATAACCAAGGGTTCTCTTCCTTAGCAACTAAACATGTTATGCTAGAATCATGTAAACAATCCAAATCAATCAAATATATGTTGTTATGCCTAATACCTTTTAATTCTATATTTTCGGAATCTATCAAGTGAATGGTGCAAAATTGACTTTCAAATATTACCTTAAAGCCTTTGTCACATAATTGACTTATACTAAGGAGATTATGTTTAAGTCCATCAACAAGAAGCACATCGTTAATCTCCAAAGTGTTTGCACCACCTATGTTTCCAATTCCAAGGATCTTCCCTTTGTTGTTGTCCCCATAAGTTACATATCCTTGTTCCTTAGCTTTGAAACTCACAAATTTAGATTTATCTCCGGTCATATGTTTTGAGCATCCGCTATCAAGATACCACATAGACTTCTTTGATTTGGAAGTTTCCTACAAAACAAGAATATAGTAAACTTAGGTCCCCACAACTTTTGGGTCCTTGGGGTTAGAGACATAACAAATTATTTAACTATAGGAACCCAAATGTATTTACCTTTAGGTACACCAAAATGTTTAATTTTACATCTATTTGACGTGTGACCTTATTTCATGCAATAAAAACATGCTTTAGATGTAGCATTTGAAAATGATGCATTTCTAATCATAGATGCTCTAGTTCCTTTTTCTACCCATACTCTTTTATTTTTCCTTTTAGACTTTTTCAAAGGAACTTGTTGATTTACACTATTTTGAACAAACACCATTTCATGCTTCTTAAGATCATCTATTTCTTTTTCGGCTTTGTCTAGCAAATGGTTAAGAATATCTATGTCATATTCATGCTCTTTACAATTTGCACATGCTAGGTTCTTATCATTTTCCTCATCTAAACATACAATTTTCGTATTTAAGGACTCCTTTTCTTCTAAACATGTGATTTTCATTTTTAAGGAGTCTATTTCCTTTTCGGATCTACTTAAGTTCTTCTTTACAACTTTATATTCATTTTTCAAATTCTTAAAAGCACTAAACAATTCATTATAAGCATTTTGCAATTCATCATAGTTATTCTCCTCATCACTAGAAGATGTGTCAGAATCACTTACCTCAAAATCGGAAGAAATGTTGTCATTTGCCATTAAGCAAATATTTGCTTCTACTTCTGAGTCACTTGATGCCGAACTAGAATCACTGTTGTCCCAAGCAATATAGGCTTTCTTCTTGAAGACCTTTTTGCCTTTGAATTCATCATTCTTCTTATTTGGACATTCGGTCTTTACATGTCCTGCTTCACCACAACCATAGCATTTTATATTTACAGAAGAATTTTCCCTTACCTTTCCTTTACCTTTGAAGGGATGTCTTCCTTTGGCTTTCATGAATTTGGTGAACTTCTTTATCATAAGACTCAACTCTTCTTCTTCATCGTTTGAGTCTTCTTCTTCCCTTTTATTTTTACCTTTGGAGATTTCGGTTTTGAAGGCTAGATTCTTCTTTTAATATTGCCCTTCTTCATCGTTTAGCCTACCAAGCTCAAGCTCATGCTCTCTTAGCTTTCCGAATAGCGCAGCCATTGACATTGTGGAAAGATTTTGTGACTCCGAGATGGTCGTCACCTTAGGTTGCCACTTCCTATCCAAAGATTTTAAAATTTTAACATTTAATTCATCAACGTCAAATATTTTACCTAATCCGGTGAGATGATTCACAATATGAGTGAAACGCTTTTGAACGTCGAAAATCGTTTCGCCTTGTTGCATTCGGAACATCTCGTATTCTTGGATTAGAGAATTTTTCCTTGCTCTTTTGACATCGTCGGTACCTTCGTGGGTCACTCTAAGCATTTCCTGGGCACTTTTACAAACAGAAATCCTATAAAACTTGTCAAGCATTAAAGCAGATGCAATTATATTTCTAGCCCTAACGTCAAATTGTGCTTTTCTGTTTTCTTCTACAGTCCATCTAGAAAAAGGTTTAAGAACGTCAACACTGTTCTCTGTAACTTTAGGAACAAATGGACCGTTTAAAATAGCGTCCCAAACGCCTCTATCAACAGACTCTAAAAAGATTTGCATTCGTACCTTCCAAAAAGGATAATTTTGACCCGCAAAAAGTGGGGGTCTGTTGATAGACGCACATTCGGCAAAAGTTTGATTTTGTCCGGCCATTTTCGAAAATTTGAATGACTATCAAAGCAAGCTCTGATACCACTTGTTAGAATCGCGCAGCGGAATGTTCGCGTGGTCGGACAAAAACCAAGAGGGGGGGTGAATTGGTTTCTTAATAAAAATTAGGTTTTCAAAATTTTCCCCAAATTTTACCGATTAAAAACTGTGTAAATGTAAATAGATAAGAGAAGAGAATCTTACGCAGGAGATTTATACTGGTTCGGATCAAAAGACCCTACGTCCAGTTGCTAATCACTCAAACAGAGGATTAACGCTGTCACTATAATCAAGTTGTTACAAGCAGATTACAATTGAAAATATAAAGATAAGAAAACACCTCTCTTGAAATCCACAAGAGATGATGAACAGATTTCCCTAGAGACGGCACAACACACAATCCACTAAGAACTCCACTTAGTGATTCTTATCGCTTCTAGCCCACACCAGATTCCAAAAGCCCCTTTTTCTTGCAACAAATAGTTCTCTAGCACTACTACACTTAACTTTTGTATGAAAAAGGTTGTTCTGCTTTTCTGAGTGCCATAGAGAAGCTTAAGTAGAGAATTAGGGTTTGGGAATTGGGAATTTCGGAATTAGGGTTCTTGGAAATAGGGTTTTCAAAAATAGGGTTGATTTGAAGTTAAAATTCAAAATCTGACTGAAATAATCGATTAAATGAAGTATTAATCGATTATTACAGAGCCAAAATCAACAGAACCCTGAAACTCTCTGTTTTAATCGATTAAAAGGGCTTTTAATCGATTAAACCGCCTGTTAATCGATTAACAGGAGTTTTAATCGATTAAACCATTGAGCAGATACAGAAAATGGTTTTTCTCACTGTTTTAATCGATTATTTCCCTATTTAATCGATTAAAGCCGAGCCTGGATGATAAATTTGAGCTTTTTGAAGCTTCTAAGGTGCAGACTATGTACCGGCTATCTTAAACACTAATATTACAGACTTAATCTAATTGAAACAGAGTTATTACAATACAAAACAAGTCTTCAACACTCTAAGTCTTTGAGTTCTTGAATCATCATCAAAATCAACAATCTTCATGTCCATCATTTTAAGGACTCATTTTAAGGACTCATTTTCCTTTTCTTCTAAACATGCAATTTTCAATTTTAAGGACTCATTTTCCTTTTCGGATCTTCTTAGATTTTTCTTTACAACTTTATATTCTTTTTTCATATCCATAAATGCAGTAAATAACTCATTATAAGCATTTTGCAATTCATCATGGTCATTTTCTTCACTAGAGGATGAATCGGAATCACTAACCTCAAAATCCGAAGAAATGTTGTTATTTGCCATCAAGCAAATGTTTGCTTCAATTTCTGAGTCGCTTGATTCTGAATTTGAATCACTGTCATCCCAAGCAATATATGCTTTCTTCTTGAATTGCTTTTTGCCCTTGTGTTCATCATTTTTCTTGTTTGGGTATTCGGTCTTCATATGCCCTGCTTCACCACAACCAAAGCATTTTATATTAACGGAAGAATTTTCTTTTACCTTTCCCTTACCTTTGAAAGGATGTCTTCCTTTTGCTTTCATCATCTTGGTGAACTTCTTTATAAAAAGACTCATCTCTTCTTCATCAATTTCGAGTCTTCTTCTTCTTCTTTCTTATTTTTGCTTTTTGAAATCTCGGTCTTGAAAGCTAGGTTCTTCTTTTGATATTGACCCTCTTCCTCATTTAGTCTTCCAAGGTCAAGTTCATGCTCCCTAAGCTTTCCAAATAACGCCGCCATAGACATAGTGGCAAGATTTTGTGACTCCGAGATGGTCGTCACCTTTGGTTGCCATTTCCTATCCGAGAGATTTCAAAATTTTAACATTTAATTCATCAACGTCAAAAATTTTACCTAGTCCGGTGAGATGGTTCACGATATGAGTGAAACATTTCGTACGTCAAATATCGTTTCGCCTGGTTGCATCCGGAACATCTCGTATTCTTGGATTAAAGAATTTTTACATGCTCTTTTGACGTCGTCAACTCCTTCGTGGGTCACCCTAAGCATTTCCCACATTTCCGTGCACTTTTACAAGCCGAAATTCTATAAAACTCATCAAGGGTTAGAGCGGATGAAATAATGTTTCTAGCCCTAACATCAAATTGTGCTTTTCGACTTTCTTCTCGCAGTCCATCTAGAAATAGGTTTAAGAACGTCAACACCGTTCTCCGTAATTTTAGGAACAAATGGACCGTTTAAAATTGCGTCCCAAACGCCTCTATCAACGAGACTCTAAAAATATTTGCATACGTACCTTCCAAAAAGGATAATTTTGACCCGCAAAAAGTGGGGGTCTGTTGATAGACGCACCTTCGGCAAAAGTTTGATTTTGTCCGGCCATTTTCGAAAATATTTGAATGACTATCAAAGCAAGCTCGATACCACTTGTTAGAATCGCGCAGCGAGAATGTTCGCGTGGTCGGACAAAAACCAAGAGGGGGGTGAATTGGTTTCTTAATAAAAATTAGGTTTTCAAAATTTTTCCCAAATTTTACCGATTAAAAACTGCGTAAATGTAAATAGAGAAGAGTAGAGAAGATTACACAGTAGGTTTATACTGGTTCGGATCAAAAGACCCTACGTCCAGCTTGCTAATCACTCAAAAGAGGATTAACGCCGTCACTAAGAACAAATTGTTACAAACAGATTACAAATGAACGAGATAAAGATCGGAAAACACCTCTCTTGAAATCCACAAGAGATGAAGAACAGACTTTCCCTAGAGACGGCACAACACACAATCCACTAAGAACTCCACTTAGTGATTCTTATCGCTTCTAGCCTCACACCAGGTTCCAAAAGCCCCCTTTCCTTGCAACAAACAGTTCTCTGGCACTCACAGCACCTAACTTTTGTATGGAAAGAGTTGTTCTTGTTTTCTGAGTGCCAAAGCAGAGTTTAAGTAGGGAAATTACGGTTTAGGAATTGGGGATTTCGAAACTAGGGTTCTTGGTAATTGGGTTTTCGAAAATAGGGTTTGTTTGAAGTTTAAAATCAGAAACAGACTGAAATAATCGATTAAATGGAGTTTTAATCGATTAAAACAGAGCCAAAAAAACAGAACCCAAAACCTCTCTGTTTTAATCGATTATTTGAAGTTTTAATCGATTATTTTACCTTTTAATCGATTATTTTGATGTTTTAATCGATTAAAACAGTGAGTATATACTGAAAATGGTTTTCTCACTGTTTTAATCGATTATTTCCCTATATAATCGATTAAAGCCGAGCCTGGATGATATATTTGGGCTTTTTGAAGCTTCTAAGTTACAGACTATGTACCGGCTATCTTAGATTCTATAATTACAGACTCAATCAAACTAAAACAGAGTTATTACAATACAGAAATCATCAATCTTCAATCTTCAATACTCTAAGTCTTTAAGCTTTTGGATCATCATCAAAATCAACATTCTTCATGATCATTATTTGCAACATCAAGTCCTTGAATGTTCAACACAAGGATGTCGACATGGAGTTCCGTGCATGACCCGAGGACTGAAAGATTGAGAGGTACCTATAATGGGAGCACCTTGGGAACCTTTGGCCTTGGTGAGAACAATGTTAGAAAAGAAGGCTGAGATCAAGAGGGGGGTGAATTGATCTTTGAAATATTTTCGCAATTAACAGATTATCTATTTGTAAAAATAAGATTTCAGATCTGTTCTTGAATCACAAAGCAATCAATCAACAATAAACGCAGTAACAGAATTAAAAGAGGAGAAAGGTTTAGAAAGATATCACCGGTGTTTATACTGGTTCACCCAATACTAGGGCTACGTCCAGTCTCCAGCCAAATTCCAGCTGGGTTCCACTAGATCAAATGTTTTACAGATTACAATCTTACACTTAATCTATCACAAGAACCATAATTCCAGTTCCTACACCTAACCTTTCACCAAGAACCAAATTCCAGTTCTTGACAACCTCTACAACCAAATTCCAGCTGCAGAGAAACCAGTGCCCACAATTCCAGGAACCAAACAATACAGTAAAATAATGAAAAGAAATGAAAAGAAGAAACTAGAATGCTCAAACCAGTTTTATGCAATTCTGCAGTAAGTGTTTCTTCTCCAAAAGAAAGCAATTTGCCTCAAGAAAGAATTTCAAAGAACTTCACAAAAACTAGCGCGAATCTTTCTTGAAAGAGTGTTAAAGTTTGCTTACTTGATTGCTAAAGGATGTGTAAAAGATTGATATTCGATGATTTTTAAAAAGTTCAAGCCAATCTGTTTTTATAGAAGATTTTCAAAACTGCTGGTTTAATCAATCTGTTAAAATAATCTTTTAATCTGTTAAAAGTGTAGTTTTAATCTGTTAAAACTTCTTTTAATTCATTAAAACGTTCTTGATTCTTTAACAGATTTGTTTTAACTGATACGACAACGTTTATATCAATTAAAACTCTTTACAAAAAATCTTCTAATTTGTTTTAATCGATTGTTTCGTAATTCAATCGATTAATATACTGCAAAACTTTATTGTAAAATTTTCAAGTGATTTTAACTGATAAAAATAAGTTTTAATCGATTAAAACGTTGTGTAGAAATTTTCTAAGTTGTTTTAATCGATTGAAAAAGCTCTGATCGGTCATAACTCAATTCTGATCGATCATATCTGATTCTGATCGGTCATAATTGCATTCTGATCGATCATCCTGAACATTAAGTGGATTTAATCGATTAAAACCAAATTGTATCGATTAAAATACTGCAAAAACGCTTCTCTTAACATTTTAAGTGATTTTAATCGGTTATTTCAAAGTTTTATCAGCTTAAAATATCTGATGTAAGGTTTTCAAAACTTTCTTTAATGAAAACAACCTAGGTTATTTCGAAATTATATTAGTTAAAAACTTGTTTAAGAAAGTTTTTGTTAAAATACTTTGTTTTTAACTCGCTTAAACGTTTTTAGAGGCATTTTGCAAAATCTTTTAAGTGAAGAAACCTCATGCAGCGAGAAAAGATAAAAATGATTATACCTAAGCATAGTCTGCGGACACACTAATCCCTCTATTCTTTTATCTAAGTGACTGTTGACCGCTACAAAGTTGACTTTGACTTTATCTTTGACTTCATCAAATCAATAAGATCTTTGCCAGAGTATTTCAATAAGATCTTCATCACTTTCAGTCTCCTCCTATTTGATGAAGACAAACACCACTTTGAATAATAATTCTGCAAGAGAAGTCACTTGATAAAACAGATTAGTTAGAAATAAAAAATGAATTATTTTCCTATTTCTCCCCCTAAATTGTTGCTTCCCCTAAATAATCCTAAATTGTTTCTAATCAACAGTAAAGCAACTATTCTCCCCCTTTTGACTTCATCAAAAATAGGGATCAGAATTGATATAATGCAAAGGTATGTAATAAGTTTGAGATTTTGAAAATAGAGAAAAAAATGAATACGATATTTTACTCATGTAAAGATCAATCAAAGTTGATTCAAACTTATCTTCATTAACACGTTTGTAATGAATACAATTAACACGTGTAAAGATAAAGGAATCATGATTTAGTAGCATGTTACAAGAACAGCCATTAACTAAAGCCTTTAATTTTTCTTTCCAGAATAAAAATCGATTAAAAACAAGACAAATCGATTAAAAATTTCTTGTTTAATGATTTTAATTGATTAAAATAAAGGTTTAATCGATTAAAACAGTGAAGGACTTCGAAAGTATGAAACATAAGTGCATTTAATCGATTAATTCGACATTTAATCGATTAAAACAGTAAAGAAAAATGATGTATAAATTCTTTTAATCGATTTAAAATATTTTTTATTGATTAAAACAACCAGTTTTGCAAACTAAGTAATGTTTTATGCGAATTTATCATGCCTAATCCAGTGTAAGTTTTGTAACACCGATCATTTAGAAGGATGTTTTACAATAATATCAACTACATCGATTTAGATTTTAACCAATAGATCCATCAAAATCAGGATAAAATCTTATTTAGCCAATTTAACTGATGTAAACTTGTTTATATAGATTTTAATCGATTGATACTGAAGTTTAATCGATTATTTTGTTGTGAAAGTGTTTCCTTTAATCGATTTGATCGATTAAAACCATTTTGTATCGACTAAAAATATCCAGGATCTATGTTGAATTCTATCTAGACTAGTTTGATTCGATTTAAAACCTACATTATATTGATCAAAGCTAAAGAGATTGTACCGGTATACAACCGATAAATATTACGGACCAGAAATTGAAATTAGCATAAAAAGAAATAAGAAATAAAAGATAAGATAAGAAGGGACCCTTTTAATCCATAAAATCAATCATCCCAGTTTCCTTGGTTCAGCTGCATATCTTCCAGCTTGGTGTAGATATCAACAATTTGGTTTCCAAGGGATGCGAATTGATTGTTTGTTTGCTGGAAGTGTTGGAATGTCATCTGCATATGCTTTCTCTTATTTTCCTGCACAGCAGCCCATTTGAGAAAGCATTGTTCTTTCAAACCGAGATAAAGGAGTCCCACGGTCAGTCGCTCCATGTAAGGAATAATTTCCATATTCTCATATGAGGCTT